AAAAATTGTGTTCGGATATTTTACCCACTTATAGTTCTCATCAAGATAAACAAAAAAGTCTGAGTAGTTGATTTTACGTTGCTTTTCAATAAAGTCCAAATCTAGTCGTTTAGTCGTATTACCCATGCAAAACTAAACATATTTGGTCTTTAGTTATTGTGAATCTCACGCCACTTTCGTGTAGTTGGTTGCTTTTATTTCACGTAAGCATGAATGAATACACAAATGCAGAAAAGGCAGACATGCACTTTATGTACGATGCTGCTAATGGTAACGCTTATGAGGCACGTCACCGTTACTCAGAAACATACCCCAACCATAACTTACTTAATGATAAATTTTTCACTAAATTTCATCAACGTTTGTCGGAAGTGGGTTCTTTTAAAACAACTCACCACGATGCTAGTCGACCTCAGGTACAAGTGTAAGAAGGATCTCTGCTGCAGTAAATATTAATGCCTCTCTAGTTTGGAGAATTTTACGTCAGTAACAATTGTATCCTTACCATGTTCAACGAGTGCAAGAATTTGTCGCTCCTGACTACGTTTCGAGAGGAGCATTTTGTGAAGTGATGTTGCAGAAGCTTGTACAAAATCCGATATTTTATGCTAGTGTTTTATTCACTGACGAAGCTGCTTTTACAAAAGACGGATTTTTGAATTTTCATAACAATCACGTTTGGGTAGATGAAAATCCTCACGCTGTTGTGCAATCAAGAAGCCAGTATAAGTTTTCTGTAAATCTTTGGCTTGGTATACTTGATGATCGATTGATAGGACTTTCTGCGAAACACTTTGCCGATATTATTCGAAGATGTACCTCTCCAGGATAGGTTACAAATATAGTTCATGATATATATAGCAAGAGGAGGTTTAATAGTTTGGCCACCTATATCACCTGATTTTTAATCCTCTACACTTTTTTGCATGGGGTTACTTAAAATCATTACTGTATTCAGTACCTGTTAATAACTTGGAGGATCTCCATCAAACAATACAAAACGCATGTGAGACTATTCGCCAATCTCCAGAAGACTTCAAAAGAGTGCGCGATTCTTTTGTACGAAGATGTCAAGCATATCTTCAAATGGAGGGAGGTCGTGTAGAGCATTTACTTTAAGCATTTTGTGTTTAGTTTTTATGTTCTGTTTGTATTATTCCAAATTAAATAAACATTTGAAGACCAAGACTAACAGAGAGGTTTACTAAGACCTTTTTGTTTATCTTGATAAGAACTATAAGTGGGCAAAATAACCGAACACAATTTTTAAACACCCGTTTGGGTTTAGTCGTTTTAAGAGACGCACGGCTAAACCTTAATGTTTCTAGTTCTAGGTCTTGTCTAGTATTAGTTGTGGAGCCAGCATTAGCTATAGTTTTAGTTATTATTCAGCGTTAGATTGTTGTATATTTTTATTAAACCAACACTAGAACTAACACTAGATCTAGAACTAGACACATTTGGATTTAGCAGTCTTAAGACACGCACGTCCAAACCCGAATGTTTCTAATTCTCGATCTAGTGTTAATTCTAGTGTTAGTATTAGTTTTAGTTTTATTTGTACCGCAAATATCTGAGCTTATGTTACAAATGAGTTATGTTAATGCAGGACAGTATTATTTTATATTAAGTATTATTCTATTTTAAGGATTTAATACAGGAAAGTAAATAATAAAATTCGGATAATAAGTTTTAAATTTAATGACATTAACTAACGCCTTCTTTTATTACGCCCGGTGATCGCTTTTTATTGGCAATTTCGGACTCGCACACAGTGTTAGGAAGTTATGAATATCTGGCCAAAAATCTAATTACAACTAAATGATGTTGAATATGTTTAATAATATCTCCGTAATAGTTAGCTAGGATTTATTTCATCTATAGACAGTGCTTAAAACAAAATTTACGATTTTGAAACAAATAAAAGTGTAACAAAGGTTTTGTTGTGGGTTGGGTTGGATGTTTAAGTTAATGTAACTCCGATAACATGGTACATTTACTTCATATACCCTAACCATACGTAATATATACTTATACAGGATTATCCACGACAACCGTCCATTAGAACTATACAGGGTTCTGATCAAAATGAAAATTTGAAAATTCAGATTTAATTATTATTAATTGTGTTCACTTCGACTAAAATATTTTCAAATTTCTAGCACTTCCGGTTATACCGAAAGTCGCCACCTACCTTATTTTTTTAACTGGACCACCCTGTATATTTTTACATATTTGGATTTATCTGTTTTCAAGGTTTATGAATAACTTTACTTTTGCAATTTGATTCTGCCGTTCTCGAGTTATTCGAATTTTTCTAAAAAAATCTGCTCCAGCAGACATTTGTTCAAAAAATCAGAGAACACTCGATTTTTGGAATATCAATTTAGGATTCAGAACATGCTTAAGCAACATGATGGAGTATGTTTTGGTGCCGAGTACAGCTGTCTAGAACATTTGGTCACTTTACTACGGCACGCTAACTTTTCGAAATTTGGAAGTATCATAACTTAATTTTTTTAAATGGCACCCCTTATTTTATTACTTACTCGTCTTCGGTGTCTCATTTTACATCTTTTATATCCCATATGTCCTATACCTAACATTTATAGTTTGGGGGATAATTAGGGTTTTTTGAAAAATGTACACATTATATCGATAGTTAACCTAGTGTACCATGAATACCTAGTGTGACCTAGTGAATAACCAAATGAAGTGGAGGTTTGAAAATTTGCGGGCTTGTGATGTTTGATGCCAGCTTTTTAACTAAAGGTTCCGGGTACTTGTGGTTACACCGGACTTCTATAAATTATTATCACATTCAAATAATCTTCATTACTAAATCCAAAACGTGGTGTTGTTTGAAAACAGATCACTACAAAAAGTAACCTAGTCATCACACCAACCGAAATAAATCATAGCTTTAGCAAATGTGAAACTGTTTATTTTTTCCTTACTAATCCTCTGATAATACATAAACCACAAAATTCCCAACACAAATTTTTTTTTCCGGCGGTCAGAGTAGATGACATTTTTGATTACAAAAAATTAAAATCTTAAAAATTACTTAACTTAGGTATAGTGTATGTAACATACAAGTGGCCTAAAATTGAACAAAAATTTCAAAAATGTAATGCAATACAGGGTGTTCCATTTGAAATATGAAAATTGTCACCTCTTCCGGTGTAACCACAAGTATCCGAAACCTGAAAATATTTTAGTAAAAAACTGGCACCAAACATCACAAATCTGCAAATTTTCAAACGCCCACATCATATAGTGTAACCTAGTGAATAAGGTCACACTAGGTATTTATGGCACACAAAAAACCCTAATTATCTCCCAAACTATAAATGTTAGGTATAGGACATATGGGATATAAAAGATGTAAAATGAGACACCAAAAATGACTAAGTAATAAAATATGGGGGTGCCATTTAAAAAAATTAAGTTATGGTACTTCCAAATTTCGAAAAGTTAACGTACCATAGTAAGGTGATCAAACGTTCTAGACAGCCGTTCTCGGCACCAAAACATGTTCTGAATTCTAAATTGATATTCCAAAAATCGAGTGTTCTCTGATTTTTTGAACAAATGTCTGCTGGAGCAGATTTTTCTAGAAAAATTCGAATAACTCGAGAAAGGCCGAATCGAATTGCAAAAAGTAAAGTTATTTATAAACCTTCAAAACAGACAAATCCAAATATGTAAAAATATACAGGGTGTTCCAGTTAAAAAAATAAAGTAGGTGGCGACTTCCGGTATAACCGGAAGTGCTAGAAATTTGAAAATATTTTAGTCGAAGAGAACACTATTAATCTAAATCTGAATTTTCAAATTTTTATTTTGGCCAGAACCCTGTATAGTTCTAACGAACGGTTGTCGTGGATGACCGTGTATACTATAATATATACAGGTGTCTCACTATTCATAGAGGTTTGAAATTTTGGTATCGTAGGTTGTTCATTCGGAACTTTCGATCTAAAAGATTTTCAAGATGGCTGCCACTTCCGGTCTACCGGAAGTAGGCCATAACTTCGTTGTTTTAAATGGAATGCTACAGTTTTTATTACACTTTTTAATTGTACATAAAAAAATATGTTGACTATTAAAGTATAATTAAAGACAATTAAAAGGTGTAATAAAAACTGTAGCATTATTATTTCGGAAATGGCAGCCATCTTGAAAATATTTTAGATCGACAGTTCCGAATAAACAACCCATGCTACCAAAATTTGAAAACTGTACAAATAGTAGCCGCCATAGCAGTCGACTGCTATGGTGGCAACTACGGAGGAACGTGGTTTGACTGTTCCCGTCAAAATTTGCGTGTAACATGTCTATTACCATAGTAATGGACTGCGAGCAATGCTATTGCGAGGGCTAGAAAATTTTCTACTTTCGGTATAGCACATAAATTTTACGATTTACACGCCAATTTGACGCTAACAGTCAAACCACGCCCCTCCGTAGTTACCGCCATAGCAGTCGATTGTGACGTGTAACGTCAGGTTTAAAAAGTTCTAACGAACCAGTTACGTGAAACACCTGTATACACTGTGTATATAAACTATGAAATCAATTCGATAAAAATTCGAGGGATATTCTTCCAGAAAAAATTCTTGAATATCTGTTGTTATATTGTTATATTTTTTAACGCGCATTTTTTGAGATAAAATTGAAATGTACAGGTGTCCTAAAATTGAGATACCATATGTTAACATTTTAAAATAGAAACCCCCATTTTTTTGTTGCATTTATGGGATTGTACGTAAATGTTGAGTATTTTTCATGTAGCTGTCTTCGAGAAAATAGCTGTTAAAAATACTGTTACTATGTTATTTGCAATAATAGTAAGTAGTAACTACGCTATTCTCTCTTTCTGTGTTAATTTGTGAAAAATGTTTAATAATGTAATGATAACCATAAATTATGTTTTAACCCATAAGCAAATTTAGTATTTTAACATAGTCTTAAAATTTTTTTATACCTATATTTATTTTTCATCGTCCTCACTGTGTTCTACAATTTCAATATTAGTTGCAATTCTTTGATTTCTTGCTATGAAATGATGTTATAATTGGGTCTGAAGATATAATAGTCTGCTTAAAATGTCTCTATTATTGTGTATTCTTGATATTTTTCTGGAAAAGTCTCAATATATCTGCTAAGGTTTTTATGCCGAATTTCTTGCGCTTCTTCTGAAAGCAGGCCAATCTGGATACTTAATGATTTTATTATTAAGTGGCCATGCACAAGAATTTTATGCACTGCCACAGGCATATAATACCAATTATATAATTGATTCTATAATTTGAATTGTGTCGTTTGTAATATTTTTAAGTGCAGCAGTGTTCTTGATAATAATTTTTGTGAAATCTTGGCATCTGGTTTGGCATTTTAACGCATGATATCTGAATCGTGACTCTTTTTTAAAGACCGAAAGCTTCTAGTTCTAGATCTAATCATAGAATTAGTACTAATATTAATTCATAAAAAATAGTTATTCTGAAAAATTGTAAACGATTGATAGTTTCAAAACTAAGTTTCAGTATTCACTTGAGAATATCCGTAGACACTATCCTGTATATTAGAAATTTTATTGAAAATGCGCAAATATGCGCTATTTATTTTTTTGGGAACGGAAAGTATAGGCTTGAAACTACATAAAAAAACAAATTTCAAAAAATTTTAGATTACATTTTTAAAATTATAGTGAAATTTCATAAGGGTACAACTTTTAATATGTTTACAATCGTTTCTCAACATTAATCAAATGTTTTTTTTGAAATTGATATGCGAAATAATTAACACTTATTTCTTTACATATCATTTTTATCCAGAGTTGAAGTTAATAAAAAGTGGTTATTGCGGAGTAGCGAGTATTATAATATAACCTAACGGTCCCCATTTGCCAAAATATTAAAAAAGAAAATTAATAAAATTATGTTATGGCCGGTAATTTCAAACTTCCTAACACTTTGTCATAGTCCGCCGCCTATGATCTGTAAGAAAGGAGTAAGTGCGTTGTACTGAAAGATATGTCAAATATGATGTTCATCTTGTCATTTTTAAGGGATAAGTGCCAAGTTGGACATTTAATTGTTAACCTGCTCTCCCCGCACCTGATTAATACGTTCTTACGCTTGACACAATTGGGATAATTTAAATGTTTGTTTCAAAAAAATTTCACATTTTAGAGAAAGATAACATTTTGTATACGATTTTTGCCTGACACAATATTTTTGAACTTACATTAGAACAGAAATATTAAAAATGTTATTATTAAATTTTTACGACTCACCCTGCACATCTTTCAAATATATATATAAACTTTCGTTAATTCTTCTCATTTTTAGTAATAATCAAATATAATATCAATTTCTCCGAGAAACTTAATGACTATGTACCGAAGAATTGTGTTCAAGCATACGAACAGGTCGAATGTCAGTTTCTGATCCCACGGTGGCATCTTGATCGATCGAGATTTGACCGTGATGATGATGATGATGATTATGACATTTTGGAATCGCTCCTGTCAGTCTCGAATCGGAACTGATGGCCCTCTCCAGCTTCCCTCTTGCATTGTGATGACAATCCCTTTTCCGTGTGCGAGCACGATGAGTGCAATCGGAAGCGTTTGAACTTCTACGTCTCGATGATGATGAAGGGCAATGAATTGAATGCGTGGGTAGTTGATAAACTGAACCACCTACAAAAATTTCGAATAAAAATTCTTAGAATAATAAATAAAATTATAATCATCAGATGAAAGATATTTCTTTTTTTTTGGTAAATATCGATTATTCAAATAGCAAGATAATAATCAACCTATTTCGAGCTACCCACTCACCAGAAACGTGTCCAGTGGTTGAGTCTCGGTGATGAAGAAATTGTAATCTGGGCGAACACGAATGCGAACTTCTTCGTAAACTTTCCGGTAATTCTTGAGCATTTTGTCTCTCTTCTTCGTCGACTCGTCGTTGTCGTTTAAGTGGTCTTCTTCTATCTTTCACTCTTAAAGTCACTGGATATTCCGTGTGAAGATCTAAAGCCATCGAACCTTGACTACCACTGCCTTGTAACGATTCATGACTTAATCTGTAATAAATTTAATTTATTGCTAATTTTGTTAAAAAGAAAAAAAGTTAAGATAAAAATATGTACCCAAAAAAATGTAATTGCTTCTAAAAATATAAAGATAAAGCTGGGGGAGTAAAATGAATTTGAAAGCTGAAATCCGAACGCAAACAAAAAATAGTTTTAATTTGTTATGGCACATACGTTTATGTAAGTTTTGTGTTTCTTACCTATACGATGCGGCTGTTTCGTCTACAGAAAGAGCGTGTCTGTGTAGTAAACCCGGATTAAGCAATGCACATGCTGCAAAAGTCCTTCTAGTACCTTTTGGAGACGGTTTCTCGTGGATAATCCGATGGCTGGCAGTAGAAGGGGATGTTTTTTCAGCGTTTTGTTCTAATAGCGAAAAGTCCGGCGCCGAAGGGCTTTTACTAATCGAACCCTGAGAATCGTTAAACCAAAAAGATAATAATCTAAATTTAAATCATTTAAAAATTCATCATAACCCAGCAACAAGCAAAAAAGAAAAGAAAAATTACAAAAACCTCATTTAAACACATTCAAATTTACCTGTGATGCTCTCAACGAATTTGGTTTATTTTGGCACGAATCCAAAACTAATCCTCTCGAAAATTGCAAAAAGGATTGTGTCACTAGTCTTCTATCTGGACACACGACGTGCGAATGGGGCGAAACTCCCGTTTGAGACCCAGAGTGTCTGATGGAATTATGAGCTGCGTAACTATTTCCGTAAGAACTGTGATGTCTTGGCGTAACAGCTGTTGTTGGAGCCGTTGTTGAATTCATTTTAAATCTGGCAGGAACCACTTTGGCGGCAGAATCTCTTGCTTCGAATGTCATCACACACGCTGCCACTACTATAAAGCCTAATCATTTCAAAAAAGTTATTTTAATTGCATATATCACTGGATTTTGAGATATTTTGAAACGAAAGCAAAATCGAAATTTAGAAATTTTTATCGATATAATGATCAATTTTTTTTTATAACCTTAAAAAGTATCATTCCTTAACCCCCAATATTTTCTGAGAAAAGAATTTTTACAATTTTATTATAATCACATATAAATTTTATATTTATCGCATTGTTAGATTAGGTAGTTTTTAACTCTTGTAAGGCGGACAAGGTATAACTGCAACGTTTATGTTTTTAAGCTGTGATACTACCATTTCAATTGCACCTCAAAGAAAATGGTTTCTCATAAGTGGATTGCTACTACAAATTTTAATTGCAGGCAAACATAGTTGGTTAACGAGATCTTTCAGAAATTTGCTGCGTTAATTTTTGGTTCTCAAATGGAAGAATGTGAGGCCAGCACAACGCCCTTCTTTTGACAGTGTACTCGCCCAACATTTTATCATGACATCTACTCGGCCTTTAGTTTTATTATAGTACTTGTTTATCTTGTGTTTAGCTGCTTGTGTGTCTACCACTTCCCCAATCATATGCATCGATGATATTAGCACAACTGCCTTATTCTTCTTTGGTACGTATGAACCTACTGTTGCATCCCGATTATAAGCAAAACTTGTCGAGTAAATTGATCTTTCTTTAGCTTCTTGCATATTGGTTGGTAGGAATCTTCTATGTTTTCTTACTGTTCCAACCACGGTTATATGCTAGGAGTTCAAGATCTTTGCTAATGCGAAACTTGTGAAGAAATTATCAATTGTCATTATTCTTCTCGACCCCTTATAAGGACTTACTAAGTTTAACACTGTTCGTTCACCAGCATTAACCTGTTGAGGACCATCTGATGGTTTGCTAATGTAAAGCTGGCCTGAAAACTTGTGTAAGCTTAGTATGACCTCTATATGAAAATAATTATAATTTGGTAGGGATCCGTACACAACGTTACATTTAGTTGCTCCGTTCTCGTTATATTAACTTTTCGTGGTGATAACAAGGCATAACCCCAAAATATTTCTCAATAAAATATTTGATCTTCTCAATAATGATGTAAGGTATTTTCAAAAAAGTGGCTTCAGAATGTTCAGTTCTTTTATTGTGGGTATACTTGTTACTGACTTTCTTTATAATATTTACTTAATCCAAAAGGGGAAAAGTTTCTTTCAATAAGCCCAAAAACACAAGGTCTAAACCTAAACCTAAGTCGAGGTTCTGGGAAACAATTAACTATGTTAGTAAACCGTTCAGTTTAGCGAAAACAGCCAAGTATTGTAACATTACGTGGACTTTATTTTCAGATATATTTCAGAATTCAATGAATACCTTCTGCTTTGTCAATAAGTATTTGTGTTTCTTTTTATTGTTCTCAATAATGATGTGAGGCCTTTTCAAAAATATCATGTTTTTTTCAACTTCGATGAAGGCGAACTTGTTACTCATTGTCTTTATAATATTTACGTAGTATGGAGGGAGAAAATACTGTTTTCTTCCCCACATTTTTTTCAATAAGCATAAAGACACTGGAGCGCAGAAAACCGTCCACTTTTAGCCAAAACAGCCAAGTTGTGTGAATGAAAAGATACATTATGTTAATGGTTCAAAAAATTGATGGGCTCACTGGAAGCTTTTTGTCCATCATTTCAGTGCGTACATAAAGTTGGTATGATTTGAACTTTTGAAGTGTCTTCTGTGGTGGTCGCTCTGGAATATTAAGAATCCTTTGGATTAAATTATTGTTGTAAGTCCTCACAAATTTTATTAGCCTTCCGAATTGTTTCTCGTAATATATGTCAGATGTCTCTGGAGACATTATTAACTTGAAAATCTGTTTATTACATACGTATTACTGATTGCTATAGATCCTCCTGTTTGCCGTAAAATATTATGACATCTTATTTAACTACTTAATGGTGAATTAGTATGTCACTCTAGTCCGTCTTTCGCTATCAAAATATAAGCAACACTTTATATCTAACTTTATGACATCCTTTTTCAAAAATAACAAAGATCTGCAAGGTTTTGTTGTCGGTCAGCTGAGAGTCATTTCCAAAGTAATTTTCTGCATATAATCATAATCCAAGCTCATAATTCCACGATCAGGACAGGATTTTGAGATATCTGAGGTTATGTACAAGATATACAGCTTTTTTGGATACTTTTGAAGTTATGTACGGGACGCAGAATACTTTTCTGCTCTATCCTATCTATACATCATTCAATACTATCCTTGCCCTTCAAAATATGCTATGAACGCTGCTGTACTATTTTTCTTTCATAAGTTATGACCCTTGAAGTTGAATACTAAACGCGGTATGGGTATGAGTACCAGCGGCAGCTTGCGCGCGACGTTGTTACTTAGCAACTGAACTGTACACTGATCAACTGACAGTACAGTTAACGTGTATTGTTAAATCCTGTGTAGTTTTCATTAGTCGTTTTCATGTCTATACTTGTCACTATGAACTCCAAAAAGTGTTTGAATGACCCTGACCGTTTTAATTACATTTGCGTTGTTGTAATATGAGCGTGAAGTTGTTTTCTCTATTTACAGTCTCATTTTCATTGATTTCCTGACAATTTAGGTGATGTTAGCGAAGAGCAAGGAGAATGTTTCCATCAGAATATAAACGAAATGGAAACACGGTATCAGGGAAAATGGCCCATATCTATGCTAGCCGACTATTGCTAGTCACTTCTGGATATACCATATCTATGGAACAGAAGTAAAAGAGATTCCAGAAAAGTTAAATACAATACAACATTCGGACTGTCGTGTCCCTCGCATCTGACAGTACTGATCCATACGCTGGGTTCCAATTCATTACCTCATTTTAAAATGACCATAACATATAATAGAAATACTATAAATACTATATGATGAAATAGATAAAATACAGCAAAATAATATTGTGTGTCTCACACATAACTTTAAAAGTAACCAAAAAGTCATTTTTCTTGTTAACTCTGAGCTCGGACTTTGATTCGACGCAGAAAATTACTTCGGAAATGGATATCAGACATCCAACAACAATCAACACCCCTTTTTTGCAGATCTATGTAATTTACAAATATAATATACCTTCGCCTCCTGGTAGCGTTGTAAAATTGTGTCCGCGGACGAGGATTAAAGAATTTTTTGCAAATAAATGAAGATTAAATGTACTTTATAACATAAAATTTTATATCTTAAGTCCTAATACTTTTTAACCCATTCCCTGCCATGGTCCTCTAATGAGGACTGGAGATAATTTATTTAATTTGTAATTAATTAGAAAATAAAATATTAAATAAATAAGACCGTTGCAAAACACTTACTTTTTGAGGTTATCTGAGAAAGTTAGCATGTCGCAGTAAAACGAAAGTATTTACACGATTTTTACAAATATACTCTTAAACTTACTCTCATAATTTGAAAATTGACAATCATAGATAGATTTTATGCCTAAGATGAGTTAATATGTTACAGTACAACAAGGGAAAATAGATTTTTATGTCGGTCCCCAATTGCGGACCTTGGCATGTACTGTCTTTATAATTGCAATAAATATTTTGGCTACAGTTTTTGTAGCAATATGACAACAACAAAATTTTTAACGCTTGCTGACTTACAAAATATACTTGATGATGAGTTCTTCAAAGATTTGGAAGAGGATGTCGTTAACGTGGTGAAATTAACACCAGAAAAGGTAGATACAGTATCAGATTGCGAGGAGCTGGATAAAGATGTACTACAGGATACTCTGCCGCAAGATGTTTGTGGTGAAACTGAGTCAGAAACTGCACAGGAACCAACCAAGAAGAAAAGAAAGGTTACTTTTTCATCACTTTGGAAGAAAATTAGTCCAAATTTTTCAAGTGGTTCAAGCACTTTTTCGAATGTAGCTTCAATGATAAGCGACATCAAAGTGAATTTGAAAAAGAAAACTCCAGTTGAAATCTTTGAACTAATATTTGATGAATCTTTGTTGAGTATATTGTTACTTAGAGTAAAATATTTGCAGAACAGAAAAATTGCCACAATTTTAATTTGTCTACTGATTGTCTCTGAAAATTTGTTGGAATATTTTTATTATTTGGACATCATTCTTTACCCCAAGACCAAATGTACTGGTGTGGAGAGGAAAATATCAACGTAGAATGTGTAAGAAATTGTATGACGAAATACAGATTTATAGAAATAAAAAAGTATCTGCATTTCAATAATAATTCCATGATATCTCAATCTGATAAAGCAGACAGATTGTTCAAAATTCGTCCTGTTATTGGTACACTCCGGGGTAAACCTATAAGATTCGGATTCAAACAATGGGCTATGTTTTTCCATCACCGGCTTTTGCTTTCGTGTATCGAGGACGAGTATCAAGGTAAATCTGAAGAAGAAGAAATTGAAGACAAGAGGTACCGACAACAACAAGCCTACAAGGCATAGTAATCATTAGATTTAAATTGGTAAGTGTGGTCAATTACAACTTTAGAAAAATCATATAAAACAAAATATTAGAAAGTATATTGTTGTTATTGTTAATAATTATTATTTTATGTATAGGATGTGCGAAAATGTCATCTAAAATCGACAATATTCGGAAGAATATTTATCTTTAGGATTTAGTGCTAGTCCTGGTAATGTCACGTTACCTATCCGCCTGGTATGCTAAAACATTTTTTCAAACGATGCTATGAAACCATCGAAAATGAGAACACTTTGAAAGAATGCATCCTGACCGTAAAGACAAAGTTAACTCCAAAAATTTAAATGAAAAATTTCTTTTACGTTCAAAAATATTCTCCAAACCGTCCACTTCTAAAAATGTTGAAGGGGGATTAATAACCTCTTATAACATTTCTCAATTAATTGCGAAAAGAGGATATCTTAATATTGCCTGCAAACTTAATATTGCGTTATATGCTTAATATTAATAACCAGAAAAATTAATATTGCCTGCAATGAAGGAGGTAATAAGTACGGTGATGAAAATGAACCCACATTCAGTCTTAAAAAGCATTGCTTTGAGCAACAGCAGTGTTCAGCGACGAGTCGGTGAAATAGCGGAAGACATAAAAACATTTTTATTAAGTGAACTGCAAAAAAGTAAATTTGCTATTCAATTGGATGCGGCAACGTTCGGAAGTATAAACATATTAATGATTTATATTCGCTATTACAGCAATAAAAAATAAGCAATTACTGAGGAATTCCTTACTGCGGAGTATTTGGAAACATATTCAACAGGAGAACGTATATTTTCATGTGTTAAAAATGTCTTTGATAAGTTTAAAATACCTATTTCTAATATAATTGCAGCAGCTAGTGATGGAGCACCTTCAATGGTTGGAAAATACCGTAGATTTTTAACCTTGTTGAAACAAGAACTTAATAACGACATTCGGATTGTGTGTTACACAGACAACAGTTAGTTGTAAAAAATATAAATGAAAACCTTCTTGATATTTTGAATCTTTGTATAAAAGCTATAAACAAAATCAAATGTAAACCTTTATATGATCGACCTTTTGCCGAACTATGCGATAAAAACGACGAAATGTATAATAATTTGTTATTACACACAGAAGTACGTTGGTTATTCAAGGATAATTGTTTACAAAGGCTTGTTGACATTTTCGATTCAGTGGTAGAATTTCTACTTGAAAACGACAAACCGCAAAGAATGCAAATATTGGAGTTAAAACATCATACATTTTTTGTGGTGGATATGTTTTCGCATTTCAATAATGTCCAATATAAATTGCAAGGAAAGGACATTAACCTCATCCAAGTAAGAACAATTATCCTTAGAATCCGAACTAAAATAGACCTCTACACCACCTTCAATACCTTCAATACCTTCATGGATCACTGATCCCTTTGAATGTGAAATCACGAAATTAGATTTTTCTTTCAGGCGGAAATAATAAAATTAAAAGCAGATCTTGAATTAAAAAATTTATTCAAAACACGTGATTACGCAACATTTTGGAACTCACAACGTATTCGAGAACAATATCTCCATTTAAAAAATGTTTTTGAGTCCTTATTATTGGCTTTCCCAAGTTCTTATTTAGTGGAAGCTGGTTTCAGTCACCTAAACAACCTCTTGCGAAAATAAAGAAATAGATTAAATGTAGCAGACCGTGGCGATCTAAGAATAATTCTTAGCAACGTTGAGCCAAATATTTCCACAATTGTATCGAAGCACCAGGCTCAATGTTCCCATTAAAATAATAATAATTATTATTGTTTATTTTATTTATATTAAATACAATATTTTAATTTCATGTTATTTTATTGATTATTTAATAAATAACCTAGTACCTATCAAAAATTTATTTTGTATATAAAAGTGTTTGTTTTTAATGGGGTCGATGCAATAACAAAAATTCTTACAAGGGGTCATCGCAAAGAAAAGGTTGAGAAACCCTGCTTTAGATCAAGTAAAAAGGTGGTCGAAATCTGAAAAGAAATATATTCAAATAAATCGTCCGCTACATAGGTGATGTTGATAAATTAGATTGGAGTGTACAGAAATATCGCATAAAATTTAGAGGTAAAAAGTGCTATTTTCCATTATATACAAATGCGATGGATGTTGCTGTTTATAATGCATATTTTATGTTCTCTATGCAATCACAAATGAAAATATACCTCTTCTAAACTTTAGGAGACAAATTACAAGAGCATATTTCAAAAAAGAATCAATTTCTAACCCTAAACATCCAGGACGACCAAGCGCGGTTATAAGCAGTAATATACCATATGCAGTACGATAATATATTTATAATTATATTTATATTAATGTGATATATTTATATTATGATTCTACTAGCCATACTTTAGAGAAAATATTAGAGGGCAAACAACGTAAATGTGCTTTATGCAAAACTCATGTTAAAAAACAATGTAGTAAGTGCAACGTAGGCCTCCATTTAAAGTGCTTACCTGTTTGGAATACTAAAACATGATGATGTATTATTTTTATATAAGTGTAAAATATATAGATAATAAATAAAATGTATATAGTAATAACATGTTGTATTTGTAGTAAATTATTTTTTAACCATATTTATAATTCGAACTCTGAACCGTACAAGTTAATACTAATTAACATTGTCCATAAAAAAAACTAAAACATAAAAACTAAATTTAAAAAAATGTAGTAACAACTAGTTTTGCAACAGTCTCATTTATTGTACAGGTGTCCAAATTTCGATGGGTTTGCAGGGTATCTTAGTTATTATGAAAGATAGAAAGTTGCGGTTTTCGTGAACCTGAGCTACTTTTTTTGTGAAACTTGCAATGCTGCAAACCAAATTTTCATAGCTCTCTTCGTTTTTGATATACAGGGAATGTTTCAAAATTCACGATTTTCAGACACCCACTGTATATTTATTATCACTCATCCACGACCGTAAGATGTTCTCGGCATCATGATTTGAACGCTCAACGCTGCCCTGGCTTTGAGAATGGCGAGGTCTTCCATGAACAATTAATAACTGTGGCCACAAGATTTTCAACTCTTCTACTATCTTGTTCGCAAATTCACGCGCATTGTCGCTTTGCAAAATCTTTGCAAAAATTGGAGAAAAATCTTCAAAAGTTCTTCCGCAACGTTTACATCGTGTTTTGAACGTAAAGGCCTCAAGGACATACGTACTTGGTGGAATGGTCTTGATAGTTCAATAGTCATTTATACTCACCGTCGGGTATAGATTGAAAATCGATTAAATCTACTTGACCTCTGGTCATAAAATCTTTAGAAGTAATCGGTTTTACAACAATTTTTGATACAATTTTATTCTTTTTTGTTTGACAATATTTACATGCCTTCAAGAACATTTCTACACAAGGCCTCGGAACAAAATATTTTTGTTGAACTGATATTGATCATTTTATCTCTGGGCCCATGGCCACAACTAACATGAATATCTAACAACCTTTCAAATAGTTCTTTTTCTGGGATGACATAAATTAAAGGATCGTTTTTTTCCTTAATTTTTTTTATGATATGTTGTTGATCGCTTACTTTCATAACATCATACATTTGCAGTAAATAATACTCTCTTCTGCTTTTCTTGCTATTCTTTTGTTTTGCTTGAGTAATTTCCAGCGCCATCTATTAATTCTCTATTTCATTACCTCAAAACAACAAAACACATCAATACTTACTTCTTTTAGTTGATCGACCGTGTACGGGTGCTTATTAGGTTTTTCTTTGTAGTAACTACTGTAGTGTTCTTTAAACAGCTCCTCATCACTTCTTCCAGAATGATTCGCCATGCTTACTAATTTAGTTAGTGCTGGTCGTTTCGTGAACCTTCGATACCTTTATTGCGGCAGATTGTGTACCGAGATGGAGTACGCGATTTACCGAATATGATCGGGCGTTTCATGAACAGCCTCGTCAGAAAACGAAATCCTTAACATTTACACAAACTGCCGACGCTTCATGAACTGCCTAGGATTTTCGGGAACTGACGGATTTCGCCATGTGACCACGACATATATATATTTAATTTATGCTCAAACGGGTGCTGTAATGAGACTCCTTATAGCAGCCGATGCTGTAATGAGCTTTTAGTAACATTTTATGGAACCAGTTCAAGTTAGTGACATTGGGTCATTAATTTTTGTAGTTTTCAATGTGACAATTTTTGTCTATGGATGTTTAAACACGTTCTTAGCATCGAATACAAAGTCCACAATGATGAGGACAATGATCACTGAGCAATTTCTCTTATTTTGGGAGGTATACATCAAACATTTTTTTTCAGGTGAATACATTTTGTGTTTTGACAGTTTCTAATCGTCAATTCAAATTTTTATTTTCAAGTGTTACGGTGTTACCAACTGCTACATACCTATTTCCCCAGATTGTCAAAATTTATTTTATTTTTGTTAAAAAAAAGGATAAAAACGCGAATTACAAAAACAAGCATAAAAAACACGTTTCATAGGACTTAAAGCACTCATTCGCCACTCGTTTTTCAACTTGAATTCGTGCATTTCAAGCATGTCTTACGAAACGTGTTTTTTAATATATTATTAATTACACCAAAAAAGTTGTCATTAATATTTAGGCTTTGGCATTTAAATGCATTGTAATCGATGTCCATTATACCAGTTGTTATTTAAGAAAAAGTAATATATTATATTATGTATTTTAACTGATCTGTAATTGTTATTTTTAGACTTACTTGTTTCGGCACTCGGCCATTATCAGAGACTATGTTAAGTGTTATTAAAAGATTAAGATATCAATCATTAATATTTGAGAACTATTACATAGGTATAGAAAGATAACACACTTATGAAATTAATTTAAAATAAAATTAAGTTACAATTTAAAAAGACGTTGAAAATTGTGTCTACGTTAAAGTGAAAAAAGCTAAAAATAACAATTAAAGACCAGTTAAAGCACATAGCTTGTAGAATTAATTTTCCTTTAACATTTTTGATAATCTTTTATTAGATTTGTGTTTCAATATTTTTGATTTTACTTAGAATCGTTCGCTTATGCCGCGAAAATATTTGTGTCCTCATTTCTAATTCGGATATTGAAAAATTAAAATTTTTTTAAAAACAAAAATGTATTGATTTATGTTACAAGCTGAAATCCCACACGCAGCAAAAGTTAATCGTGTAGCCTCCATAGCTCAGGGGTTAGAGCACTGGTCTTGTAAACCAGGGGTCGAGAGTTCAAATCTCTCTGGGGGCAAAATTTTTTTTTCTTTTTCTCATCTAACTTTTTCCCAATTACCTCAGCATCTGTCGTAATAACTTTTTGTCGACGACGAAAATCGATTTATTATTTTTATCGCGAAGAAAAATAAAAGCAAATTTATCTTTTTATACCTACCTCCTACTCCCATAACTATTGGACCTGCATAAGACAAATTGTTCAAATGAAAACCTCGAGATTCGTTTTTCACTCGTACTGTATGATTTCCTCGTACTTCTTGTGCAAACGATAAATGATCCGCATAATAACCTAGAAAAGAAATAAATTGTCAAAAAAAGATGTTGGAAAGAAATTGGTTGAAAGTAGAAATTGATTCTTTTCGATTGCAGTGCTCATTTTCCGCGGGGTCTTTTAGCTAGCTAAAGCATTTCAGCGAAGTGGTTCGAGAGGCACTTTAGAACTTGCTGGCAAATGGGTAGAGATTGCTCGGGTGCAACAGATGTGTCCCTTTGGCAAACTTTATGGAGAGTTATTTTTATACAGCCTCAGGTTTTAAGTTTACGGATGCGATGTACGTTGACTTTAAATGTTGGGAGGATTAAACTTTGTAAACTAGCCGAAATTTATGACAAATAAAAAAGGAACGTTTTGAAAATTTTCATTTAAAAATATATAAAAAAATTCGTTCAAACCTTTTCTGTATACAGGTGTCCCGTTAAGCGTACGGAGCGGCTGTATCTCTAGAACGGTAAGGCCTAGAGGTTTGGGAAAAAAATCCGTATCAGAAAAGTGACCAAGAGAAATAGCTGAAAATTATTTTGAAGTTCGTAATTCGACCACTAGGGGGCGTAACTGCCATTGAGAAACATAAAGTTCCCGCTATCTCAGAAACTTAGACGATGAGCTATAACTTTGACAACATCATTTAATAGCTTGGATAATACCGCATCGCTTTTGTTTTGCGATATTTCTCATATCTGTCATAATNTTTTGTTATCTCTTATTTGTTTCCTAAGGTAACTTGATCCGATTAAGATATACGAATTTTTAACATTTTCTTTTATAATTCGAGAATGGATGGAGATATCGAGATGCGGTTTTCACTAATATTTAGCAAATTTTATGGTGATTAACGGTCTGTGAAGTAAATAGTACCGTTCCATTTAACTTTTTTTCAAAAATCACAAAAATATGTAACCGCTGCAGATAACGCCCCCTAGCTTAAGCCGGATTTATATTTGTCTGACGTGTCGTGTTGTGACGCGTTTCTTCTTTCTTTCGATATTAAATTTAATAACACTTAACATTATCAGCATCGCTCTCAAGCTCTTTAACCAGTCCGTGAAATTCGCCTTTAGCCTCTCTCTTTCTGTTCACTGGATCTTCTCTCTTTTTCTTTTTTTTAGAAGAGTTGCCAGTACCATAAAATGAATATCTTCTTCATAATTTGATTCAGAAGATTCATGGGAAAACATTATAGACCCACGTATGAACTCTGAGTGCTACGATTGTACTGATTCAAAATATCGCCAGAGTGCGTCACAACACAACATATAAATGTGAACACTAACCATTACGTCAGAGCGCATCACGACACAACACGTCAGGCAAATATAAATCCGGCTTTATTTGTTTTAAACCAAGCGCTCTTACTGAAAATATCTTTTAAAAGAGCATAAAATGCTCTTTCAAACAAGACCAAAAATACTCAAATCGGTTGAATGGTCCAGGAGATATTAAAATGTAAACATTTGAAAACGCATTGGCCTCCCCCTCCCTTATTATGACAGATATGAGAAATATCGCAAAACAAAAGCGATGCGGTATTATCCAAGCTA